ACTAGATGATCTTTAAGATCCCTTCCAACCCAACCCATTCTGTGATTCTATGACGGTAAAGCCTGTAAGAATCTGCTGTGCAGAACTGATCTTTCATGGGTTTGAGGCTTTCGGTGCTTAAGCGGTCAGCAGCTCTCTCGCTGGCAGGTGAAGATGCTCGCACGGCAGGCCGCGGCTGTGCAGGCCGAACCCAGCCTTGTTTCCTGCCTGTGCACGACGCCTCCCACCCAGTCGCTGCCCGGAACCTCCTGACTGCTAACGGGAGAGCAGGGTCCTCAGCGGATGCTGCTCGGGGCGACGCGGGGCGTAGCGACTCACAGCGTAGGCTGCACAAACACAACCCACCATCGTTACAGCAGGTAGGTCTGTGGCCAAGATGAACTTTGGAGAACGCTCCAGGCCCATGGAATGCTAACGGGATGGTTTACATGGAGCGGGGAGCTCATCACTACCAAGGACATGTGAGCCACGACCTCCTACGCTGCCTGGCTCTCCGAGGTTTAGAGACCGGGGCAGAAGGGACCAGGAACAGAAATCACCGTTTGGACCTGAGGGGGAATAAAAGACCTTGTGTTCTGCTGCCCAGCAATAACTCCCCCTGGTTTTGTCCCAGATCCCACTCGTTCTCTCCCAAACCTACAGCACTGCATCCTCGGAAAGATCAAGCTGGGTTTTCCCACGTCCTCCGCTGTGTCTGAGCGCGAGGGGCTGCGGAGCTGCTGTTCTCCCTCCTGCACGGTGATCTGCTCGGGTCCTGCCGGGTGTAGCTGGGGGAGGCAGAGGCGGACGGCGCGGCTCTGCCAGCCGTACAGGTCTGGCTGGAATCGGCGGGGAGCAGAGGGGCTTTAGAGCACCAGTGTTCCGACCCCTCCGGGTTTTACGGAGGGATTTTAAGGTGTTTGCTCTCGCCAGCTCCCAAGTAAGATTGTCAGCATGGTTTTCACTGCAAAGATGAATGCTGGGTATTTAACAGCACAGCAGCAGGAAGAACATCCAGCACAGGGCTGGAAGCCCAAGCCCCACAGCAATGCTTCGAGCAGGCACGCGGTCTCACGTCGATAACCCAGATTTACTTCCTGTCGTGTTAAAACGGTGGTTGTGGTCTGAAAAGGACCTGCAAACAGGATCACGTGGTACCGGCGGGTTCGCAGCTGGAGTTCAGCCCGGTGCGGCCGTCCTCGACGCGTAAGACAGCGGAGCAGGAGCTCTGCGAGATGCTCCCGGGGCAGAAACACAACTGTCCCACGGCGTCACCAGCTTCAACCCCAAGGGACTGTAACACACGAATCACACCATCCCCCGGAGCTATTTCAGAGGCGCTTTTCAGGCTGCAGTTGAATCCTAAGGCCAGCCCAGTGCTCTGGCTCAGAATTCCAGCGAATGAGGTTTCCGTATAACATGACATGACTGTCCCCTGTGCAGCATCCAGCCGAAACCCCCACCTTGGCTGAGCTGGAACCCAGGGCCGTCTCTCACACTTGCTCTTCTCACCACATGTTCTCCGAGGACTGAACACATCTGGGCAGGGAGGTTTGTCACCAACATCGAGAACCCTAAAAATACAGCTTATCCTTGTGAAAGGATGAGGAAGTTCTCCGTGTTTCCCTCTTCCTGAGGATAACTGTGGCATCGGGTTCCTGCTCCTGGATCGCAGCACCAGCGGCGTTGGGTATCCTGCCACCCGCAGAGGCATCTGGCACCGGGTAAAGCAGAACCAGGCAGCAGCGGGGTCAGGGGGAAGTCACCCCGAGAGAAGACCTTGGGAGAGCAGCAATGCTGTGCTAACGAAGTGCTAATGGTGCTTTCTGCCAGGCAGCCTGCACAGATCCTGCCAACTGAGAACCTTGGTGACAAACAAAATCAGTTGTACTAATTCCGTGCGCATCCATAAAAAGGAAATGGATTGGAGCCACAAAAATCCCTTTTGAAGGGCTAAATGATTTCCTTGCTAGATGGGAATAGGCAGGATGTTTCAAACTGAGCCAGGCTCCCAGGGACCAAAGGAGTTTGGGCACCTGGAGCTCACAAAGAGGTGGTTTATCACCTGTGAGTGAAACCCTGATTCTGGTGCAGCAGCTCAGCATGTTCCTGCCCGACACCGCAGAGACACCGCAGAGACACCTCCCCGTCTGCCCTCCCAGCGCCTGGCTGCCGAAGGCGTGAGGAGACGCTTTCTGACACGTCCAGGTTCGATTTGCCAAGATGATCTATTACATCCAGGATCAGGGCACCAGCGCTGCTCTCCCAGCTCAGCCCATTCCAGCGGCTCCGTTGCCGCGTGCCGGGGACACGAAGGTGGTCCCAGCGTGACAAGAACAGCAAATGTGATGGCTCTGAATTTGGAGATCTTTAAAGTCAGTGCTCGCTTGCTTGCCCTCCAGTCTCACACACAGCGTGATTTGTGGGAGTGCAAGAGCCACGAGGAGCGTGTTAATTAATAAATGTCGTGCTTGGGGTCAGTGCTGCACAGGTACCTGCTCTGAATCTGGGTTCTTTAACATGTCTCTGCTTATCATAGAACCACAGAATGGTTTGGGTTGGAAGGGACCTTAAAGACCATCCAGTCCCAACCCCCCTGCCATGGGCAGGGACACCTTCCACTAGACCAGGTTGCTCCAAGCCTCATCCAGCCTGGCCTTGGACACTCCCCGGGATGGGGCATCCACAGCTTCTCTGGGCAACCTGTCCCAGTGCCTCCCCACCCTCTGCGGGAAGAATTTCTTCCTGATATCTAATCTAAATCTCTCTGTTTTCAATTTAAACCCATTACCCCTTGTCCTGTCACTACAGGCCCTTGGAAAAAGTCCCCCCCAGCTTCCTTGTAGCCCCTTCAGGTACTGGAAAGCTGCAATAAGGTGTCCCCGGAGCCTTCTCTTCTCCAGGCTGAACAAGCCCAATTCTCTCAGCCTTTGTTCATAGCAGAGGTGCTCCAGCCCTCTGAGCATCTTCGTGGCCCTCCTTTATCCCCTTGTTAAGCTGGAGGGGCCCTCTCAGCTCCAGCCGTGAGCTGCTCCGAGGACGGCAGTACGGACCTGTGGGGTACTTGGGGACGTCAGCCTAAGCGTAAGGCTTCTTCCCCAGTTATTCTCAGAGCCCACCACCACCTCCTTGCCTTCCCCTCTCCGCTACCTTCGGGCTCGGACTGAGCTGCTGCCGCCCAACAGCTGGACCAGTTGACTTCTTAGCAGGCGCGCTCAGTCCTGATTTGGGTTTCTGGTCTGGTCATCAGATAGCCTGAGGTAGTTTTCCTTTACCAGCTGGTGTCTGGGGACGGGGAGGAGACGCTCCTCTCTGGAGGTCAGAGGCGCTGCAGAGAGAGGAGCTGCGTCAGGGCTTGAGATGTCAGAGGTTGCCAGCTGTGGCCGCCGGCACGGAGGGGTCGGGCTCTTGCCCCCGTGTTGTTGAAAGGCTGCTGCAGGGAGGGCAGCGACCCACACCTTTCCCTTCTCACGGGACGAGACAGTGAAGGCTATGTGTAGTCAAATCCAGCACTCCAGATGCCCAAGGCTCCCTCGCTGTCTCTGGGCTGATGTGATGGGCATTGTTCTGTCTGGATTAACAATGTAGTCCCTGAGAGAACACCCTCCCATATGCCGGCCATGCCCTTCAGGCTGGCCCCTCTCTGCCTCTGCGGCACGTCCCAGCCCGCTGATGCTCATGTACCTTCTTGAACTGAGCTGCTCTGACCTCTCTGTGCCTGTAGGTAAAGCCAGAGAACGGCAAATCTGGAGAGGCAGCAATGGAATTCCTTGGGCTCTTGTCACCCTTCCAGCGGGGATAGAAAGTCGTAGGGCAGTAGGCAGCCCCAGCAAAGGTTTCATATTCAGCAGTCCTGGGGTGGTTTTCCAGTTAAGACGCAAACCCACACAATTACTGTGGATTCAGGAAGGCAACTCGCGTTACAAATGTGCTTCTGTTGGTGCCTGTTGCAAGGAACTCCAGCGACACAAAACTCCTCACTGCTGAGATGAAAGTGTCTGCGCTCTGCGCAGCACCCACGGATCCCAGAATGAGCACAGCCTGCGCTCTGCTTTTGTCAGTGCTACGCCAAGAGCAGAATGGTAAGACACCCTCTGATGCGTGTCCACGGCTTTCAGGCTGGTCACCTTCCCTGCCAGTCTCCGCTGGGAGCAGAAGTGCCACGGAAGGCTCTGCCAGCAGCTGAGCAGTGCTTTTGGTGTGGGCTCACCTGCACTGTGGAGAAGAACACGGCCAGCGCCTGTCCTTGACTCTTGGTGAGGGATCGCAGGACATCCAGCGACAGGATATTTGTTGTTCCCTCCCATATGGACAGCACCTGTGGGGTAGAGGAGACTGTGGAAGGGCACGAAGGAGCCTTTTGGGGCGACTGCAATAAAGAAAGGAGAACAGGAGGAAACAAAGACATGGGGCAGGGATGTCAGGGCAATCTCCAGAGATGTCTTGCCTTGTCACAAGTGGAAATGAGCACTGGTGGTGAGAGCTAGGGAACAGCCCAGGCACAAGTCCTGTCCCCTCCCCGGTGCCGACTGGGCTCAGCTGGAGGGCAGCCAGGAAAGAGCCCCCACGCCTGGAGTGAGTCCAGGGAGGACCGTGTTCTCCCTTGAGCATGTCTTTAGCTGGCAACCATGAGTGCTGTGCAGGGGACGAGGCGACACACGGGAGCTGATGCTGCTGCGTTCTTACCAGGGTATCGCGGACCATGACTGGCAAGCCCGTGTCCTCCATGTAACCTTGTCCTCCAAAGCTCTCCATTGCCTCAACAACAACAGCAGAAGCCTGTAAAATGCAGAGAGCTGACATCATCCACGAGGCACAGGACCGGCCCAAAACCTCTAACATCACACAGCAGTTCCTGCCTGGATCCCACCGATTTGCTGAGGATGGTTGCTCATTATATGCAGGAGGAGCAGCCTGAAGACTGAGTAACACTGGGAGAGGACCTGCAGGAGCAGCCAGACCCTGGGAGAAGATCCAGGGAGAGTGTCTCCCAGTACAGCCCTCTCTAGGTAAGGACAAACCTGGAGGTACCTGGGAGTACGTCTCTAGTCCATGAGAGTCTTTAGCTTTTACCTGCCTATGGTGTGTAAGCTTCTGGGTATTTAAGCTGAGGGTGAGTAGAAGAGGGGCGGCGCCCTGAAGTTAAGGTAACGCTAAGCTATTACCACCTTCTAGTTATTCACAACGAGGGGAACGATATTCCACATACCTCAGAGCCCCAGCTTGGTCCTGGGGCAGCCTCAGTGGCACATGCAGTGCTTCACAGGCAGCGCTGGCTCTGTCAGCTCTGATCAGACAGCTGAGCCGTGGCCCTGAGAGCAGAGGGATGAGCCTCCTACGCACAGTGTCCAGCCTCGGTGCAGAGCAGGAACTGCCGCAGGCCCTGCAGCCGCTGCCGGTAGCCGCTGCTATCGGCGCCA